TCAGTGTTTGGCGCTTGTGTGGCCCCCGTGCCATTATTTAGCACAAACTTGATTGGAAACCAGCAAGCTTGGCCAGTACAGCGTCACGCTGCGCTAATCTATTCAGTTGACAGCCTCTACCCTCTCGTTTCTTCTACAAGAAAACACAATCGAACGAAATTCTTTCAGCCTCCACAAATAAACTACAGAGTTCGCTATCCAATTAAAAGCCGTTACCAGTTTTACCAAAAATATGAAACAAGGGCCCGAATCGGACGCCTCTTGGGCAAAAGGCGTCTTTGTAACGTAAAGTTTAAGAGAAAGAGCACACGCCATCGTGCCAGCGATCAAAGATGTGGCATAGATAATAGCAAAGGTGCGCAGGACTCGCTTGTTGTCTTCCCTCCTTTCCTCCATCTGAACATCATCGCATGGCATCTTTGCTACCACGCCATAAATCAGACCCAGACATACCCCTGTGAGAAAGAAAACGAGGAGCGTTGAGATGCAGACGGCTAGCTCTTCAAGAACCCCGCCGATTTTGTCCAAATAACCAATGGGAATCATAACTCCTGCGCAGACCAACCACGATGCGATGGCGGCGACGACGCATCTCGCTGTGGTGATGATGTTCTTTACCCCGAAGGGGTCGACATGGATAGTGATGAGCTGGTATAGGGCTACGAAGAGGATGTTGATCACGGATATGACCAGGGGCGTCGTCAGGTAAGGGCGTACGATTTTCGATGGAAAGTTACCCTGTATGGATAGGTTATCAAAAGTTACACTTCAACCTTCAAGTGTTAGAACAATAATACATGTAAAAACAAAATAATGAAAATAAATATCACTATGAATACAATGATAATAATAATAATAATTAGAAGAAGGAGTAAAAGAAGAAGAAAAATTGTTATAATACTAATGATATTGATAATTACAATAATAATAAAAAAGATAACAATAATAACCACAACATTCATAATAATTATAATTATAGTAGTACACCGACACCCATAAAGTTGGAATAATTTGTTCCTTACTTCTTTTCATAAAATGATTGTCACATTATTGTTTATTCGTGATAGGTAGAGTGTATATCTTTTCAGAACGTCATCTATGAATCTGGAACATAAAAACTTAATCTATCAAGAATAAATCATATTTTTACAATCATTTCATAGAAAGTGTTTAGGAAAAAATTATTCCAACTTTATGGTCAATAGTCTATTAAAAATTATAATAATTTTAGAACAATGATGTAAATGAAACAATAAAGCTAATAATAATGATTATCATAATAATAATACGAATAATAAAAAATAAATAACAATAACTAAAATGATTTGATTTGATTCGGTTTATTGAAATTAACAAAATTAAAAATTTAAAAAAAAAGAACATGCAGCTGGGAAGCTGAAATTATTCAATTTACAAAATCAATATACAACACAATCAAAATATGAATGACTAAAACGTACGACTATAAATCATGCATAATGAAACAAAATTAGAATCAATATTACATCAAAATCTAAATATATTACAAACATTAAATCAAAATCGAAATATATTACGAATATAACATCAAAATCTAAACATATTACAAATATTACGTTAAAATTTGAATAAATTACAAATATTAAAAACATTAAAAACCTTCTGTGTCATCAAAAAAGTAGAGAGAGAGAGAGAGAGAGAGAAAGAAAGAGAAAGAGAAAGACGGAACTAGAAAGAGGAATAGAAGGAAGAATACAAAAGAAAGAAAAGTTGATCAGGGAATATACGAAAGATTGAAGGAGAGGGGAAGAGAGGGACAGAGTAGAACAAGAAAAATAGAAAGAGAGAATAATGTCTAGGTCTGCCAAGATGATGTTGAACTGGAAGATGAATCGTCGTTTGCGAAGGCAACGATGGCCGAGAATGAAAGCCAGAGGGAATGTGGAAAGGAGAAAGAAAAAAAAATCGTGTTTCTACAATAAATAATAAAAGAGTAGTAACAACAATAACAGGTAGAAGGAGAGGAGAAGATTAAGAAGAAGGAGAAAAAGAAGAAGAACAAGAAGAACAAGAAGAAGAAGAAGAAGAAGAAAGAGAAGGAGAAGAAGACGAGGAAGAAGAAGGAGAAGAGGGAGAAAACAAGGAGAAGAGGGAGAGAAGAAGAAGAAGAAGAAGAAGAAGAAGAAGAAGAAGAAGAAAAGAAGAAAAAGAAGAAAAGAAGAAGAAGAAGGAAAAAAAAGAACAATAAAAGGAACAGTAATAGTGAAGTGCATTTAACAAGAAAATGGCACAAAATACTGGCTGACACAACATAGCCATAATACAGAGAAATTGACAAAATATAACTATAATTTATTAAAATTGTACACCTACCGATCCGAGGTTGACTACTACAAGATGACAGATGAGACTAACTAAGTCTGCCAGGATGATGTTGAATTGGAAGAGGAATCGTCGTTGGCGAAGGCGATGATGACCGAGAATGAAAGCCAGAGTGAATGTGGAGAGGAGAAAAGCGATGCCGAGTGTCAGGTAGAAAACGACTTTATTAGCTGCAGTACTCTGGTTACAATCGAATCCAAGTTCGAGATGAATAACATCGGAACCCATCTTGATAGTGAAGTTTTTTTTTTAAATCTATGTGTTTCTTAGTCGTCAGGCGTGATATCCTGAATAAATATAGCGTGATTGGGTAAATATCAATAATTACCCCTATATAAAGGTCACTCCATGGACACAAGAAAAGCGCTCTTTTTGATCAGGTGGTCTTTGTGTGCAGGTTCCTTAAATCACGGTGTCAATGAAAAAACAAAGTTCACGGTGACTGGAAATTGCGTCTTTAAATCTGGAGGGTCTCTCTACATAAGTGGTCGCTATTCAAATCAGGTGTGGTTGTGATTTCCTTCCTTCCAGTCTCTTTTAACACCTGGATGGAGAGAGGAAAATGCAGATAAATGTCTCGCCAAAGAACGCGAGCGTTATACTACAATATTATTGCACTACAAATATATGTCTTTAGAAATACCTATACCCTTCATGTCAGCGGTGTAAATATTCATATATTTATATTCAAATTTATTGTCCAATGATTGGAAATTTGTTTCATTTGCATGTCAGTACAAGATTACACATTATAATCATCAATAAGATACAGATGGGTACAGAGTAGAACATTTAACTTGGACATAGGTAACAACAAATGCGATAGTTCAACATGCAGACTAAAATTCGATTCATAAATTCAGACTAAGTAGTTAAATTCAGTTCAAGTTCGGATTAAATTCATTCGCAATTCAGATTAAAATACAATTAAAGATTTAAACCATTAAAACCTTAGGCTGTTAGTCCTGCCAATAATTTGGTTACCAGGCTGGGTTTGTTTCACTGTAAAAAGTGATATCTGCATGCTATATAAAAGTTTGAATAAAGAAGCAATTCTGTGAAATGACAAAAATTATGGTACTCTATGTAACTGATAGCATTCAATACTGAAAAATTAACATAATGCCTGTCCAACTAATAAAGGTAGTGGCCCTCATTTTAAAGCCTTCTAATTTCTTGGTAATTTCCCCAGTAGTAAGTCAAATCTTAGAACACACCATCTTCCTATCTATGATTTTCTGTTAGTTCTTTAAATGTTCTTCATCCTGGAAACCTCTTTAAATAATTGTCACACATTATACACAGTCATCATATCTGATTGATACACGTCTGTAAAAACCCAATTACACACACACACAAAGTCATGTTGTAGCATGACTACTGTCTAATTGTTATCCCTGGTGGAGGCTTGCAAAATAATGAAGGTTACAAAATAAACATGAAGACTGCAATGCAATGTCCTGATACATGTTAGGATGTTGTAGCACGGTTATTTTGGGGTTTGGAATAACCAATTAGTGTAGAAACAATGTAATTTTGAATGTTACTGATATAACTTTTACTATGTCTTGTAAACCTTAGAAAAATAAAGGGAATTTTGTAAAACTGTATAATTATACATGTATATAATGATTTAAATTGTTATGATTCAAATTGCATGAATACAAATGCTAGTATAACAGGTGAAATATATGCTGGGCTATTACTGACCAAGAGCAGCTAACGGGATGTTGTCTGAGTCAGATTCCACTTCTCCTTCCTCAAAGTCTGTATGAACTCCATGGGTTCTGTTTCATTCTACATAAGGATTTCCTCATCAGGTTCAAGAACCTGACAAAGACAGCTATAGCGGGATGTGATCTGAATCGGATTTCACTTTTTCTTCCTCAAAGTCTGTCATCCAACTCCATGGGTTCTGTTTGATTCGGCATAGGGATTTCCTCATCGGGTTTAAGAACCTGACCAAAAATATGACCAATAAATAATCAGAACTTGAAATTTATGAACGACGTGTTATGTTGTTGTTTGTAAATTCGCCCACTCCTGTCATTAATTTAATGGTAACAGGGTTATACCAAATAATAGTCAGCACAATCATTTCTCCTGAGTGTTTCTACATCCTTGATCATAAATGAGCTTGTTCATAGACACGCAGGGGCGGGTCCAGGATTTTCCAATGGGGGGGGGGGGGGGGGGGCTGAACTTTCAAAATCGCGCCGACCGATATTTCGCTCAGTGTGGGGGGGGGGGGGGGGGGCTCGGAGTAGTGAGCACTAAATTACAGACCAAATCTCCCGTTGAGTTTCTATTCATGAGTTATGTGTTATGTCTCGATCAAAGTGGCAGATCGGCAGTTTATCTCTCACAGACCATGTAGATAAACTTATTTACCAAATATATTTAGTATAGGCGGTTTCCCGGCAAAAATGTTATCATCATGTATTAGTCATTAGTTAACATTATTCTTTCACATGATTGGTAAGAGCTTCCATTTTATTTTTTGAAATTGGGGCGTTTCCAATACTGGTCTTTACCTTTAACAGCATCTGAACTGAGTTGTAAACACTTCAATACAGAGCTCCGTGCTTTTTCCAGGAAGTTTGATTTTTCGTCTGCATTGATATCGACCCACGTGGGCGATACAGTGAAGTAAGTTATCGCGCATGCGCTACACAGCAGACGACGCGATAAACATCCCGATTCCAGGAACGCAGAATATGAGTTGAAAAAAACATGTAGGATCTATAAAAGTCGACTCCGGTTTGGATTTGTCAAAACTTTTCCCATCACCTCGTCGTGATCAACATCAGGATCAATTACGATGAAGTATTCACACCTAGAAGCGTTCATCGTCGCTGTGTGCTTAACGTCACTGTCTGCTGTACTGGTTGAAGCTGAAAGGTGAGTTATGGACTTGTGTAGGTTAGCCACGCGAGCTAGTATGGCACCGGTCCTGCCCCGGCTTTAGCCACGGCGATACCGGTGGGGTTCCTGGTTATATTTTGTGGGCCGTATAATCTATAGTGAGCTCCAGTGTGAGCTCCGGCCGAGTCACCGACCCACAGTGGGCCAGGGAGGAACCAAAGTGTGCCAAAACTAATTTCCGGGGCTTTATTTTCTATAAATCCATAGGAAATGTTTGGATGTCCAGGGATTTCCGCTTAAATGGTATTAGACTACCAGCATTTTCTCTGATATCTAAGCTTTGAGTTGATACCAGATTTGGCTGCCCGATTGTGCCCGTTATTATGTTAGAGCCGTTTTCCTTGCAACATTGCCCCGAAAAATGTGTTTATTTTGGTCCGCGGTGTCAGAACAAGTGTCACGCGCCCCCAAGCGCCGTGATTTATGACCACGAATCCTTCATGATTCAGCCGCTGACTAAAAACAAACATATTTTTCGGGACAATGTGGCAAGGGGAATCGGCTCTAACATGACAACGGGCAAGATCGGGCAGCCAAATTTGGTATCAACTTAAAGCATAGACATCAGACAAAATGTTGGTATTAAAATATAAGCGGAACTCTGCGGAAATCTAAACGTTTCCTCTGGATTTATAAAAAACATGGATAATTAGTCCATTTTTCAGTGAATTAACCTTTAATATTTAATGAAGATTGTGTTTCTATACATTTTAACCAATTCATGCAACGAAATGAACTATCAGGAATATGTGAGAGCAATTTCATATCAATAACTTAAGAACTTCATGTTAAATTGATAGATTTATAAAATCAGTCACTTTTGCATTAAAACTGTGAATATGTAGGATTTTGCTGTTTGAAGGAGTAAATTTATACCCTAGTTGTGCTTACTGGAACTAAATATTTTACTGAGGTATTCCTCAATGGATTAAAGTTCAACTGGTCAAGAAGAGAATTGAAGAAAAATAAATCACCAAAAATGAGTTTTAGCGCACTGGTTCCTCCCTGGCCCACTGTGCGTTGCCATGGTTACGCGGACGAGCGTTGAATCGGCTCTGCGTAAATGTAAACAGTACAAATGTGTACCGATTATGCCTAATAATAATCGATGGACGTGCGGAGGAAAAGCGCCTGCACATGCAGTGTTGCAAATTTTGGCAAAAAGAAATATCATACATGGAAAGCTTAGGTTTGGGCGGACATTTTGAGATTAACATCACTGCGGGAATCGGCCGGAATCCTAATAAACATGCTACTTTTATAAAAAAAATGCAATTTTTTCCTTTTTTGGTGAAATCTAATGCTCTTTTTTCCCAAAATGAAGCTTTCATAAATTTGGTCATTGTATTTTCTAATTGGGTTACCAATAGGCAAAAAGTGCACGCAGTATCAAATTGACTGCTTTTCCCTTCATAAATTCTCAACACCTATTGTAAAGTTGCCTCTTTTATCATTTTTGGAGCAACATATAGATTTTCCCATGTTCACAGGGTATATGACACTTTTAAAACTCGCTAAATATTAAAATATGGGTGGAAAAATATTCTTTAGAATGTTTTCTTCCCCAAGCGAATGAAAAAAATATAAAAATTCACATTCGCCAATTTTGAGTTTTGGCACACTTTAAGGCGATTCTGGCCCACTGTGCGACCCCACTGTGCGACCCCGCTGCGGCGCTGGCCTGAGCTGGGAGGCGGGCGCGTGGACGGGGCTTACTATGATGACTTATACTCTCGTAAAAAAATTAATTCAACAATATATTATACATATATGGTGAGAGCAACCAGTGCCAGTGGCATGAATGGCCTGCCATTGTTCAAGTCCAACTTAAAGAGCACGTCCACTCTCAAAAATAAGTTACTTTCACTAGGAGCAGAAAAATCAGAAAAAATCACAAACCAATCAAAAAAAGTTTGAGTAAAATCGGATAACGAAAAAGAAATGACATGAAAAACTTTGAAAATAACTAGACAAATTGGCAAATCGATCACTCATGAGGCTGTGAAGTCATGTCCACACTAAGTTAGATCTATCCACTAATTATTTTCTTTATATTGATAATATAAAATTCCTATTTCCCACCTAAGATAGACTAGTAAGAATCTAAGTTAGACCCCTGTATACACATACATGTACGTCTGAAAGTGGACTGAGGCCGGCCCCGGAGGCGGCTCGACGTACGTGTAACACCAACTTTTTTTGAAAAGCCTGACTGATTGAGGCCAGGTGGACTCAGTCCACCTCTGGATGTGGTTTGAGGCCGGCCCGAGTCCGGACTCAGTCCCGCAATCAGTAGGTGTAACACCAAAGTGGATTCAGGGCCGGCTTATAAGCGGAAGTGACGTGACCTGTCATCATTATATCAACATAATAGATGGGGCGCGCTTTGCCACCTTTCCTTATGTTATTCTTTGTTTTTATCATTCTATCACTTAATTTCTCTTTCTGTCTTTCTGTATGTTATTCTTTGTTTTTATCATTCATCTTCTCTTTCTGTCTTTCCATATGTTATTCTTTGTTTCTTCCTTCTATTACCTTCTCTTATGTTATTCAGTTTTTTTAATAATAATTATACCACTTTCTCTTTTTGTCTTTCCTTATGTTATTCTTTGTTTCTTCCTTCTACCACCTTCTCTTATAAATGTTATTCTTTGTTTTTATCATTCTATCACTTTCTCTTTCTGTCTTTCCTCATGTTATTCTTTGTTTTTATCATTCTATCACTTAATTTCTCTTTCTGTCTTTCCATATGTTATTCTTTGTTTTATCATTCTATCACCTTCTCTTTCTGTCTTTCCTTATGTTATTCTTTGTTTCTTCCTTCTATTACCTTCTCTGATGTTATTCAGGTTGTTTTAAATAATTCTACCACTTTCTCTTTTTGTCTTTCCTTATGTTATTCTTTGTTTCTTCCATCTATTACCCTCTCTTATGTTATTCTTAGTTTTTATCATTTCTGGAATGCGCCCCAACGTCAGCTCGTGAAAAGGCGACGTGAGGCCGGCCTATATGTGTAGACGCAAAATTGCGGGCCTGAGATATATGTAACGGTTTTGTTGAACTCGAGGCGGCTTCAAATTGCAGGCGTGAGGCCACCTCCAGGGCCGGCTTTAAAAGCCGACGCATGTGTAACAGGGGTCTTTAATTTCTTGACACCAGCATCCAAGTCAGATTGATAGTATTTGTGTGAATGCACTGTCATATAGAGTATTTTTATGCCTCCGCCACCGAAGGTGGTGCCGGAGGCATCATGTTTTCGGGTTGTCCGTCCGTACGTCCGTCCCGTTTGACCGTTATCACAATATCTCAAGAACCATTTAAGATTTAAACTTAAGACTCGGGAATAGTATTTATCACCATAGGAAGACGATCTGATTAGATTTTGGAGTACGTAGGTCAAAGGTCACAGGTCACAGAGGTCAACTTATGAAATTCCTTGTATTGAGTTTGTTAGCGCGATATCTCAAGAACCATTTGAGATTTAAACTTCAAACTTAAGGATAGTATGTATCACCATAGGAAGACGATCTGATTAGATTTTGGAGCACGTATGTCAAAGGTCAAGGGTCACAGAGGTCAACTTATGAAATTCCATACATTGAGATTGTTATCATGATATCTCAAGAACCACTGGAGATTTAAATTTCAAACTTAGTGATAGTGTGTATCACTATAGGAAAACAATCTGATTAGATTTTGGAGCACGTAGGTCAAAGGTCAAGGGTCACAGAGGTCAACTTATGAAATTCCATACATTGAGATTGTTATCATAATATCTCAAGAACCACTGGAGATTTAAACTTCAAACTTAATGATGGTGTGTATCACCATAGGAAGACAATCTGATTAGATTTTGGAGCACGTAGGTCAAAGGTCAAGGGTCACAGAGGTCAACTTATGAAATTCCATACATTGAGATCGTTATCGCGATATCTCAAGAACCACTGGAGAATTTTCACTTCAAACTTAATGATAGTATGTATCACCATATCATAATATCTCAAGAACCACTGGAGATTTAAACTTCAAACTTAATGATAGTGTGTATCACCATAGGAAGACAATCTGATTAGATTTTGGAGCACGTAGGTCAAAGGTCAAGGGTCACAGAGGTCAACTTATGAAATTCCATACATTGAGATTGTTATCATGATATCTCAAGAACCACTGGAGATTTAAACTCCAAACTTGTTTAAATTGCTCTATGGTGGAGGCATCATTTTCGACTGCGCGCAGTCAAAATTCCATCTAGTTTTCCATTTAAATCATGAAAAATTTGAATTTTGATTTAAACTATTTACATAAAAATCAATAATTATGATTATTATCTACATGTAGATGATGCTTCCAAGGGGTACAATAAATCAGTGTATTCAATATATTTAGCGCAGTACCCGGATGACCAACCAATATTCTATTCATATTGCTCAGCCATCCGGGAACTTCAACTATCGATATCAATATCATGGCGATATATCACACAAAATTAGCTCAAAATAAGCGCGACACAGTCAGAGGTCCAATATTAGATGCGAGCAAGGCAGGGTACGCTTAAAAACAATGATTATGTAAATGAGGGTTTAAACCATTGGTTAAGTTAAACCTCCTTTGTGAATTTGGGCCATAGCCATATTTACCGAGGTAAGTCAAAATGTTGTTATTTCGCTAGTCAATAATAATAATAATAATAATAATAATAATGATATTGTATGGCTTTGTTTTCGTGTGATACAGGAAAATATTGCTCTGGCTAAGACAATATGACTCGTCTTTGACTCGTCCAATATTGCCATAGCTCGAGCAATTTATTCTTGTATCACACTCAAATTATATAGCCATCCAAAAAATATACAATATTCAGAAAAAAGTATCAATTCTTCAAAGTTCATAAAAGATTTGTGAAATGTCATGCACGCAATATGATATAAAAATCATATAACCTGGGCAAAGGCATGGGGAAATCAAGTTTTGGGGAATAAAAAGAGAAATTAATGGGATTAAACTATATACAATTGATAAATAGTGAGACATGACGTCACAAACTGATAACCAAATTGGCAATTTGTGTAGTGATTTCCATTGTTCCATAGTTTTACATACTTTTTCAAAAATTCATAACTTTCTTATTAGTTACCTGATTTTGCTCAAACTTGTTTTGATTGGTTTGACTGATTTTTCTGGTATCCATTTGGAGTGGCAATGATGTGGATGTCGTGCCAATTAGGGACATTAATGCTGCTGTTAGGCAGGGATTTGAAACTCAACTTGATAGAGTGAAATAGCGAATAAACCAGAGCACTTCCAGATGTGTATATCGGTGACCCGCCCTGCTCTATGATATAGCAATGCTAATAAATGTAGTGACATTGATATTTTTCTGTTTTTCCTTTCTCTATGATACAACCATGAATTGTAAAACATCAGGGGGTTAGTTATCACATTTCCCGAGACAGTCTATCTGAACTCAACCGAGAAAGTATGCTTCACAGCAGCAAATGTCAGCGGAAACATGCAAGTCCGAGCAAGGCTAGTGCTCCCGGGTTATGCACATCCTTTCAGCACCTGGATGGGTACGGAGAGGGATGGATGTGTGGACATTTCCACAAATACTCGTTACTATAGAGTATGTAGATTTCAATTTCAATTTCCACCCCTCCCCTTTCTTTATAGAAACTTATATTTGGAGGGGGAGGGGGGGGGGGGGGGCGACAGGGCAATATAGACTACACTGATGTACATGTCAACATTATACTGTGTCCAAAATAAACTTTCTGATTTTCTGGGTTGATTAATTCCATATCACCCAATCCTTTATTTCATATTGAATATATGATTTAATACAAAAAAAGGAAAAAATTATAGCCACAAAAGTCATGAATCATTTGTTGAAATGATCGAAGATTGCAATGCAGGTAAAAAAAAAAATGCCTGTGAGAACTACACTCTTATCCTATGGAATTAAGTGAAGTTTCATCTTCAAAATACAAAATTAATAACTACTTTGAATTTATTGCAATATTGATTTATCCTTGAAATTGTAACTATATTTAAGATATATGACATAAAATGATATTGTGAGGAATGACAATATGTTTTGTACATGTTGCAATTTACACCAAGAAATGACGTAATTTTATGATATTTTTCACATTATATATGAAGTCCCGAGCTGTTCCAAGAACAGGAGAACTCCTTGTGGAGTGGTCTGTGGAACGAACGCCAGGTTCTCTGTTCGTGGAGAAGACCTACAGGAAATCTGTTACTGTGGCCCCTGTGAAGAACCAGACGTTCATTCAGTCAGACAAGCCTATCTATCAGCCAGGACAGAAAGGTAAGGGCTCTTGGTTCAGTCCCTTTGTTAATCTGTCCAAGGGTTATGCCATTTTAAAAAATATACATGTTTAGCGTCTCCGCCCGCTTCCTTTCTGGGGGCCGCCTTCTATTTTTAATTTTTATTTTTTTTAATCTTTTTTTAAAAAATCTTTTATTTATTTATTTTTTTATTTTTTTTAAAGAAAAACACTGCTAAAATGGATCTATTTCTGTTTTATATTAAAAAAAAAAATGTCGGCAGCCATCTTGAAAAACAGCCCGACTGTCATGGAAAATGTACCGAGCGGCCATTTTGAAAAAGAAAAAAAAAGGGCCTCCTCCTTCCTTTTTTTCAAGAAAACAGGACACTAAACATGTTTTTTTTTATTTGGCCTTAATAGTACTCTTCAGAAGTATTGCTAGACCATGTTGAATGGCCGGGGTAGGGAAATTAAAAGTTGTGGACTAGTTAAAACAGTTTTTGTCTCGTCTGCATATCAAGAGCGAGACATAGACGCCGCTTTTACGGCGGCGGTGGCGTCAACATAAACAATTAACCAAGCTATTGACACTAACATAATTAGAATTTACACAAGTAATCAGAATTTACCATTATTTTCCATATCCAAAATAATGAAAAGGGGGTAGGATTTAACATTTGTTGATGATATGGCATGGAATGACTGTATATATTATGTGCAAGTATTTTTGATTGATGATACAATAATGTACTTATTTTTATTCTTACAACTAGTTCTGTTCAGAGTGCTGACTGTGCTATACCCGAAATTGCTGCCCGATACGGAAAATGTAAGTTGAGATCACTATTAAAGAAATAGTTGGTGTAGTTTTGAATATGTCAGGTGTTATTTACACCTACCTATTTACCCCAAGAAACATTAACTACTAATGATATGGCATCTTTGTTGTGGGGAATCAACAGTTATATAGTATATTTTACGATATGTGATGATAATTATCAGGTTATCCTGGAGATTTTATATACATGTAAATTTACTTAGATGTTTTTATTTTTTCTTTATTTTTTTCTTTTTCTTCTAGAAATCAAACTCTAGCTTCTGAGCTTTATTGGGGCAGATTTTGACTGGAATTATCACATTTGTTTTGTTATTGACAAAATAACCAGGATAGTTGAATAATAGTATGGAAATCCTTAATTTTGTTTTCAAAATGACAGAAAAAAGATGTATGGATCACCTCTCCTGGTGGAACTAGAATGCAACAGTGGAGAGATCAGGTCAGTAGCGATGGCCTCTTGGATATGGCCTTTGAACTCCTGGAAGAATCCGAGCTCGGGAACTGGACGATACATGTGCAGGTGCATGGTGGGAGGACGACCATCCAAGAGTTCAAAGTTCAGGAGTATGGTAAGAGATACATTTGTACAGATCATCATTTGTGTGTACACAGAAAGAAACCTGTTGTCTTGACCTCTAGGTCAGCTCTCGATTTGGGTTTGACCATAGTCAGGGCTATTACGCACATTGATTGGTTCGGCTCAATATCTTTTGACTGAAAGCCCCCCCCCCCCAAAAAAAAAAATAATAATAATAATAATAATAACTAGACATTTAATTCGTCATGGGGACGAATTAGGTGGTCTGTCTTCAAGTCTTATGATATATTATAATATTTACTATATTGAGAAAGGGAGAAGTTATATAGACATGTAAACAATGATGATCATCATGATGATGATGATGATGATGTTCTTGATAGTAATGGTGATGACGATGATGATGATGATGATGATCATGATGATGTTGATGATTATCATCAACAGACCACGATGACATCAGACTGAAAAAAATGAGAGAACATTTAGATAGTATATAGTCTCAGCTACAACATACTCAAAAATCAACAAAAATCAAGCCGAAATAACGGCGATATTGCTCGCAAAAGATAAGAATGTAGAATCCAGATTTGAGAAAAAGTCATCTCCCATAAGGATTACACGCAAAAAGTAATGGATCTATTGATAATAGGGTAATAATAAAGTAAATATGGTTGTTTATTACATTATTTGCGATTGTACGTGTTTTAATATTCAAAGGAGATGGTAGAGTGAATGGTCAAAAAGAAAAAAAAGTGAAGAAAAAAAATTGTTGGAGACGCCCGGACTCGAACCAGGGACCTCGAGGTCGGAAGTCAAGTGCGTTACCGATATACCAAAACATTTCCCATGGAGATTACACGTAAACGGAAAATGGAATGCACAAATCCCACTTTGTAATTGAAATATGAGCATGATCCCGGCATCTGATCGAAAAATAAAGGGGACACTTGTGATAGCTTATTGTCTCAGCTACAACATACTCAAAGTTCAGCGTAAACAAAGCTAAAACGACGGAGATATTGCTCGCAAAAGACAGGATGTAGAATCCAGTTTTGAGAAAAAGTCATGTCCCATAGAGAATACACGCTAAATGTAAAAAATTGACATGCCTCCTTTAATCGCAAAAATACGCCATGATGCTTTCGTCAAAATGAAAATTCGTGTCAACTGCATCTGTAGGGAATTGTCTCAGCTAAAACATATCAAAATTTGGATGAAAATTGATCAATATTTACAGAGATACAATCAATTTTCAAGAAATCTGCTGACGTCATAATATGCAAATTGAAATTTTGAGTTGGGAGGCCATTATGATGACGTCATGAGTTAATTGAGGGTCAAATGAGACATGAAATCATATCTCCAATTCATACTCTATCAAAATATGAAAACAAAATTGGGTTCATCTTCCATCCTAAAGCGCTACAATGGATTTTGTATAGGCATGTTTTTGCCCATGTATGCTATGTATTACAAGAGCTCGCACGCACGGAAATTATCTTAAACGGACGCTCATTCCGTTATTAATGGTCAGAAAAAGGTGAACAAGGTATCAAAATGCTTGAAAAAATGATGACATAGAAAATTTGGCGATTCTATGTTGCAAAATGCCATTACGCGCGAAAACGCGCGCGCATGTGCGTGTGCGCATTTTTTTGCGAAATGCTTAAAATGGCATAAAACGTATGCAAAAAAAATTTGAGACGATTTTGAGCATTTTGTAATTTTGCGCGCGAGCTGACGCGCGGACGTACGCATGCGCGCGCGTTTTTTGACCTGAAATTGACCGGACGGATATTGACCTTAATCATTATAAATATGAATAAGAAATGCCTTTCCGTTATGAAGATATGATCATGAGTTGAAAGTACCAAAAAAACACAAAATGGCGCCTGGATGACGTTATGAAGATTTGATGACCTTGAAAATGTTACTGTCACGTCTCATGACAATGACCTATGACTGTGCCAAAATTGAACGAAATTGATTGAACTGATCTTGAGTTATCCTGTTAACAAAAAAGTGCGAAGAAATAAAAATAAACTAGACATAATACTTGTTTGGAACAAGTATAGGTGGGCTGGTCAACTTAAATTTGAGATAAAATACAGCAAAAATAAGCGAGATACTGCTTAAAAATTCTTGAAAAACAATATCATGTAGTTTCATGACGTGAACAAAATTCACCTTCTTTAGGGATAACGCAAATTATGAAGGCCTTTTGACATGAGGCCTTTAATCGAGATTTTCACTATGATGACGTCATCAAAATGAAAAATGATTATTACTGAGCTTGTAGAAAATTGTCTTAGCTACAACATATCGAAATTTTGAAGAAAATTGATCAATATTTACAGAGATGCAATCAATTTTCCATAAATATGCTGGCGTCATTATATGCAAATTCGTATTTTGAGTTCCAAGGCCATTATGATGATGTCACGATACACTTAATGGCCAAATGAGACATGGAATCATTTCTCCGACTCATACTCTATCTAAATATGAAAACAAATTGAAGGTCACGGCTCATTCCAAAGAGCTATAATGGATTTTGTATAAGCATGTTTTTGCCCATATATGCTATGTATTAAAAGAGCTCGCGCGCACAGACGTTTATCTTGAATTGACGCTCATCTTGTTATTAATGGTCATAAAGAGATAAACATGGTATGAAATTCCTCGAAAAAATATGAGAAATATCATGAAAGAAAAAAAAATGGCGATTCTATGTTTTGTAATGTTGTTACGCGCGAAAACGCGCGCGCATGCTCGTACGCGCGATTTTTTATAAAATGCTTAAAATGACCTGAAACGTATGCAAAAAAAATTTAAGACGATTTTGAGCATTTTAATTTTTTGCGCGCGCACTGACGCGCGGACGTACGCGCACGCGCGCGTTTTTTGACATGAAATTGACCAGACTGATATTGACCTTGATCATGATAAATATGAATGAGAAATAACTTACCGTTATGAAAATATGATCATGAGTAAATTTTCAGAAAATTTCACAAAATGGCGCCTAGATGACGTCATCAGTCAAGGTCAAGGTTTAAAACCTTACCATGTTGTCTCCATATGCCTATACATATGTGTGCCAAATTTCAAGTTATTTGATTTAGCCATTTTCAAGTTATTTTGCTAACAAAAAAGTGGGTCGAAATAAGAAAAATAAATAATAAACTAGACATATAATACTTGTTTGGAACAAGTATAGGTGGGCTGGTCAACTAACATTTGAGACAAAATAGAGCAAAGATAAGCGACATAATGCTTACAAATTCTTAAAAGACAATATCATGTAGATTCATAACGTGAACTAAATTCACCTTCTATAGGCATAACACGCAAATTATGAAGTTTTTGACATGAGGCCTTTAATCAAAATTTTCACTATGATGACGTCATCAAAATGAAAAATGGTTATTACTGCGCTTGTAGAGAATTGTCTTAGCTACAACATATCGAAATTTTGAAGAAAATTGATCAATATTTACAGAGATACAATCAATTTTACATAAATATGCTGACGTCATAATATGCAAATTCGTATTTTGAGTTCCAAGGCCATTGTGATGATGTCACGATACACTTAATGGCCAAATGAGACATGGAATCATATTTCCGACTCATACTCTATCTTAATATGAAAACAAATTGAGGATCCCGGTGCATTCCAAAGAGCTATAACGGATTTTGTATAGGCATGTTTTTGCCCATATATGCTATGTATTAAAAGACCTCGCGCGCACTGACATTTATCTTGAATTTACGCTCATCTTGTTAATAATGGTCATAAAGAGATAAACATGGAATCAAATTCCTTGAAAAAATATGAGAAATATCATGAAAGAAAAAAAAATGGCGATTCTATGTTTTTTAATGGTGTTACGCGCGAAAACGCGCGCGCATGCTCGTACGCGCGATTTTTTATAAAATGCTTAAAATGACCTAAAACGTATGCAAAATAAATTTGAGACGATTTTGAGCATTTCAAAATTTTGCGCGCGCATTGACGCGCGGACGTACGCGCACGCGCCTGTTTTTTGACCTGAAATTGACCGGACTGATATTGACCTTGATCATGATAAATATGAATGAGAAATACCTTTTGGTTATGAAGATATGATCATGAGTTGATTTTCAGAAAATTTCACAAAATGGCGCCTAGATGACGTCATCAGTCAAGGTCAAGGTTAAAATCCTTACTGTGTTTTGTCCATATGCCTATACATATGTGTGCCAAATTTCAAAGCATTTGATTGAATAATTTCAAAGATATCTTGCTAACAAAAAGTGGGTCGAAATAAGAAAAATAAATAATAAAGGCGATTTTAACAAAAATATAAGGTGGTCTGTATTAGATACAGCCCACCTGATAAATAAATAAATAATAAAGGCGATTTTAACAAAAATATAAGGTGGTCTGTATTAGATACAGCCCACCTGATAAATAACTAGACATATAATACTTGTTTGGAACAAGTATAGGTGGGCTGGTCAACAAACATTTGAGACAAAATAAGGCAAAAATAAGCGACATACTGCTTACAAATTCTTAAAAGACAATATCATGTAGATTCATAACGTGAACTAAATTCACCTTCTATAGGCATAACACGCAAATTATGAAGTTTTTGACATGAGGCCTTTAATCAAAATTTTCACTATGATGACGTCATCAAAATGAAAAATGGTTATTACTGCGCTTGTAGAGAATTGTCTTAGCTACAACATATCGAAATTTTGAAGAAAATTGATCAATATTTACAGAGATACAATCAATTTTACATAAATATGCTGACGTCATAATATGCAAATTCGTATTTTGAGTTCCAAGGCCATTGTGATGATGTCACGATACACTTAATGGCCAAAAGAGACATGGAATCATATTTCCGACTCATACTCTATCTTAATATGAAAAAAAATTGAGGATCCTGGTGCATTCCAAAGAGCTATAACGGATTTTGTATAGGCATGTTTTTGCCCATATATGCTATGTATTAAAAGACCTCGCGCGCACTGACATTTATCTTGAATTTACGCTCATCTTGTTAATAATGGTCATAAAGAGATAAACATGGAATCAAATTCCTTGAAAAAATATGAGAAATATCATGAAAGAAAAAAAAATGGCGATTCTATGTTTTTTAATGGTGTTACGCGCGAAA